GGTGTCCCCAAGCTTGGGGACATCTCTGGGTGTCCGTCTGTCCCCTCGCTTGTCCCCTGTCGCCAAGGATGGCATCGTCCTGCTCTTGCAGGATCATCTGTCCCCTCTGATGTCCCCAAGCCAGGGGACAGCGCTGTCCTCTGGGTGTCCGTGTGTCCCCCTCCCGTGTCCCCAGCCCTCAGGGGTGGCACTGTCACCTCCGGGCATCGGTCTGTTCCCTCTGGGGTCCCCAGCTCCTGGGGACACCCTCGGTTCTCTGCGGTGCCACCACCCCCGTGAGGTCCCCAGAGGACATTGTCACCTGCCCCCGAGGGCAAAGGAGCCCTGATGTCCCCAGGGATGTCATTGTCCCTGACACGGTGCTGGGGACACCTTCACACCCAGCTCACCATCCTCCTCCTCCTCCTCACAGCGACACCGCTGTCGCCAGCTCCGAGGACATCGCCACCTCCATGGTGACACCGCTGTCCCCAGCTCCCTCCGCTCCACCCCGGCGCCCCCCCCCCGGCCCTTGGGGACAATGCCACCCCGCGGTGTCCCCGTGTCGCCGCCCTCACCGCCTGCAGCCGGTCCGTGAGCTCCCGGCGCCGGTTCCGACATTTGGCCGCCGCCAGTTTGTTCCGCTCGCGCCGCACGCGCCGCTTCTCCTCCTCCTCGGGCGTCAGCTGCGACAGCGACGGGACAGGACTGTCACCCTCTGTCACCCCCTGCCACCTGCCGTGTCCCCAAAACCCCCCTGTCTGCGCCCCCAAATCCCCGCACGTTCCTCGGAATGGGGGATGTCACCGAGCGTGGTGTCCCCAAGGTGCCACCACCTGGGGTGTCCCTTTGATCTCCTGCCACTCACGGTGTCCCCAAGGTGCCACCACATGGGGTGTCCCTCTCATCTCCTGCCACTCACGGTGTCCCCAAGGTGCCACCACCTGGGGTGTCCCTCCGTCCCCTGCCGCTCATGATGTCCCTGGCTTCCCCCCATGTCCCCAAGGTGCCACCACCTGGTGTGTCCTTTCATCTCCTGCCACTCACGGTGTCCCCGAAGTGCCACCACCCCCTGTCCCCAAGGTGCCACCACCCCCTGTCCCCTCTCACCGTCTCCTCGCGGCTGCGCCGGGGCCGAGCTCGGGGGGCCCGGGCGGGGGTCGGGGCCGGGGGTCCCGCGAAGGCGCCCAGGCCGGGGGTCGAGTAGCTGGGCCCGGGGAGGTCGTAGGGGTCGAGGGGGGGCGGCTGAGCCATGGGAGCCCCCGGGGCCACCGAGGAGATGAGCGTGGGCTGCACCAGCCACTGCAGGTCCTGGCTGGTGGTGATGGCCGTCACCGTGGGCACGAAGGAGCCGGGCATGTCCCCAAGGCCACCGCACTCCTGGAGGGGGGAAACAGGGGTCAGAGGGGCTGGGGACAGCGGGGACACCGCCGGGGACACCGCCGGGGACACCCCATCACCGACCACCTCGCCCGGTACCGGGCCTGGGGGGGGCACCGGGAGCCCCCCCAAATGTGCGGGTGGCGTTGTCACCTCCCAGGTTGTGGCCAGAGTGTCACCGGTGTCACCTGCGCCTGCAGGGTGGCTCGGTTTGGGGACAGCGCTGTCCCCAACTGGTGGCACTTGGGGTGAGGGTGTGACTGGTGCGGGAGATGTCCCCAGCTCATCATCATCAATCATCATCATCATCATCATCACCGTGCGAGTGTCACCCTCGCGTCCCTGTCACCCTGTCACCCGAGTGTGACACCCTGGCGTCCCTGTCACCCCAATCCGAGGGTCCCCAGGGCGTGCAGGGGACCCCCAAATCCATCTCGGGCCGGGTGGGGGGGGGGTCCCCAAAACTCTGGACCCCTCTCCCAAAATCCGCGCCCCAAACCGAGCCCTCTCCGCCATGGGGGAGGGGGAGGGGACACCGCGGGTCCCCAGGTGACACCGCCACCCTCTGGGGACCCCGCCGAGCCCCCCAAATTCCGGGGGTGTCGCCCCCGCGATCGCGGCGGGGTCGTGGCCAAATCCCAGCGAGGGGGGGCGTGGCCATCTTGTTAGGGGCGTGGCCTCCATGGCGCTCTAACGCCGCTCGTGGGCGTGGCAGCCCCGCCCCCCGTGGGGGCGTGTCCCTCCTCCCCGTCTCCCCTGGCAACGCCGCGAGCGGGAGTGGAGGGGGGGGGTGGGGACACCCCAAAAATAACCCGCGCGCTTTGCGTGCGTGCCGCGTCACCCGCGGCGACGTCACTGCGCGCGCTTACGCACGGCCCCGCCCCCCCGCGCGCCCGCCCCCCCCCTCCCCGTCCCCCTGCGCGCCCCCGGCGCTCACCTGCGCGGCCCCGGCGGCCGCGGGGCTCCCGAAGGAGTCGAGCGGCGACAGGTACTGGGACTCGGCCGAGGGCGAGGAGCTGCAGCGGGAGCCCGAGTCGTAGTCCCCGGGGAAGCCCTGGAACATGGCCCCGGGGGCGCGGGGGCCGCCCCGCCGCGACAAGGCTGCGGGGTCACGCCGCTACCGGCATCACGGGCACGGCGGGCTGGGGGCTCGGGGAGGTCCGGAGGGCTCTGTGCTGACGGCGGTTCGGTGCGCTGAGTCCCGGGTTGGTTCCGTCAGGCTCCGGTTGGGCGGTCCGAGCTCCGGTGCGCTGTTAGAGCGGCCGGTGTGTCCGTGCCGGGCTCCGGTACGCCGGTGAAACTTCCCGGTGAGGCGCTGGGAGCTCCGGTATATCCGTGCCAGGCTCCGGTGCGTCTCTGCGAGCCTCGGCTGGCCGGTACCGAGCGCCGCTGTGCCCGTCCCAGGCTGCGGTTCTGCACTATAAGCTCCGGTCCATCCGTGCCAAGCTCCGCTCCGCCGTTCCAAAGCCCCGCCGCGCCGCTACACGCCCCGCTCCATCCGCGCCGGGCTCCGGTTCTTCCCTACAAAGTCCCGCCGCGCTCCAAAAGTTGTCCGGTACAAAAGCCCGCGGTGCGCCCGTGCCGGGCTCCGGTTCGCCGCTACCAGCCCCGGTAAATCCGAGATCCCCCGACACAAAGTTCCGCTCGGCCGCCGCAAGCTCCGGTAAATCCCTTCCCAGGCTCCGGCACGTCCGCTCCGAGCCCCGGTGACGCTCCCGCCGCTCCCCCGGTCTCCGGTTTTATGAATGAACTGCTCACGGCAGCCCCGCCGCTTTATACGGCGGAGCCCCGCCCCCCTGCGCTGACGTCACGGCAGCCGCCGCCGCTGCTCCGGGACCCCCGGGACCCCCCCGAGACCCCCCGCACCCCGCAGCCGCCTTGGCCGCGGTCGCCGGCGCCGTTTGAGGCTCCCGGAGCCGCCGCCGCCGTTAAGAGCGGCCGGGGCGGGCCGGGAGCGGGGGGGATCCCTGTCCCCGCCCCCCGGAGTTCCTGTGACGCAATTAGCCATATATGGGCTTGTCTGGAGTGTTTGTTTGGTATCCTAGCAATGACGTCACAGGGATTCCCTCCGCCGCCGCCGCCGCCGCCGCCGCCGCCGCCGCCGCAGCCCGGGCGCGTATTAATAGAAACGGGAGCGAGCGCGGTTCTAGAAACGGCCTGAACCGTCCGGGCCGCCGGCTCCGCCCACCGGTAACACCACGGGACCCCCCCGCAGCAACAACAACGAGGAACCAGCCCGGGATCCCCGACATCCCCCCCGCCCCCTCGGGGGCTTCCCCGGTGATCTCCCGGGACCCCCGAGACCCCCACCGGGATCTCCCCCGGTGATCCCCCCGCTTCCCCAGTTGGGACCCCCGGGAACCCCTCAGGGCCCCCGGGAACCCCTCAGGACCCCCGGGAACCCTTCGGGACCCGCGGGAACCCCTCAGGACCCCCGAGAACCCTTCGGGACCCCCGGGAACCCCTCAGGACCCCCGGGAACCCCTCGGGACCCTCCCCCAGCACCGTCCCGGGGCGGAGCTGATCCCGTACGGGGGTGCCCGGTACCGGAGCCGTGGGAACTTTCCCCCGAGGGTTCCCGGGACCGAACTCCAGCTCTGTGGGGGTTCCTGGCACCGGGACAGAGCGACCACCACCACCCGGTGTCACCCGGACGGGACCGAGGAACTCCCGGTGGCGGGTGGTGACACACCGGGGGTGGGGGCAGTCCCGGTACCGGAGCGCAGAGACCACCGGGCCTACCTGGGGGGGCCCGGGTCGGGGGTCCCGAGGGTCCCGGTCTGACACCGGGGCTGATGTCACCGGCGGGAACCGGCGCTGAGTCACGGCGGGACCGTGGGGACCGGCGGGGGGGGCGGTTCCCACGCCCTTGGGTTCATTCATTCATTCATTCAATCATGCAGGCCCCGCCCCCGCTCCCGGTGTTCCCGGTGGCGGCAGTCCCGGCATGTCCCGGGGTCCCGTTCCCGGTGTTCCCGTCCCGGGGGTCCCGTTCCTGCGGTCCTGGTGGTCCCAGTCCGGTTCTCGGGGGTCTGAGGGGTCCCGGTCGGGCTCTCGGGAGGTTCGGTTCCGGGGGTCCCGGTGGTCACAGTCCCGGTCCCGGGGTCCCGGTAGTCCCAGTCCGATTTCCGGGGGTCCCGGGGGTCCCGGTCAGACTCTCAGGGGGTTCCCAGCCCCGTTCCCGGGGTCCTGGGGATCTCTGTCACATTCCCGGTGCACCCGGCCGGGCTCTCAGGGTCTCGGTGGTCCCGGTCCCGGTTCCCGGGAGTCCTGGCCGGGCTCTCGGGGGCTTCGGTTCCCGGGGTCCCGGTGGTCACAGCCCCGGTCCCGGGGTGCAGGTAGTCCCAGTCCGGTTTCCGGGGGTTCCGAGGGTCCCGGTCGGGCTCTCGGGGTGTTCCCAGCCCCATTCCCAGGGTCGCGGTGGTCCCGGTCCCGTTCCCGGGGATCCCGGCCGGGCTCTCAGGGTCCCGGTGGTCCCTGGCACATTCCCGGGGGTCCCGGCCGGGCTCTCAGGGTCCCGGTGGTCCTGGCACATTCCCGGGGGTCCCGGCCGGGCTCTCAGGGTCCCGGTGGTCCCTGGCACATTCCCGGGGGTCCCGGTGGTCCCTGGCACATTTCCGGGGGTCCCGGCCGGGCTCTCGGGATCCCTGTCCCGGCTCTCGGGGGGTCTCGGTGGTCCCAGCCCGGTGTCCCGGGGGTCGCGGTCGGGCTCTCGGGGGTTCCCCGCCCCGCTCCCGGGTCCCGGTCCCGTCCCGTCCCGGTAAACACTGCGCGGGTCGCCCCGGTTACGGCGTTCCCCGCCGGTGACGTCACCACGTCCGGCGTCCCGTGTTTACGTCGCGCGGCAACGGCCGTGGCCATGGCAACGGGGGCGGGGCCGCTCCGTATATGGGCGGGGAGAGGGCGGGGCCAGAACGGAGGGGGCGGGGCTTGAACCTCCGGGTTCCCGCGCGTTTCGCGGGGCGGGGAGGACATTTGGGGACACTTGGGGACATCGAGGGACACGAGGGCACACCGGGGGACATTTGGGGACACGAGGGGACACCGGGGGACATTTGGGGACACCGGGGGACATTTGGGAACACGGCAAATCGCAGACACACATCAGGGGCTCCCCCCTGTCCCCGCCCGTGTCCCCGCCCGTGTCCCCCCCGCTGTCCCCTCGCTGTCACCCCGGCTGTCACAAGAGTTTTTATTAAAGTGTGACCCCCCCCTCGCCACGGGGGGGGTGAGAAGGGACACGGAGTGGGGGGGGAGGGGTGTGGGGACCCCCCCAGGCCACGCCCCCCCCTCCCCTCGCTGTCACCTGAGGGGGGAGGGGACAGGTGGGGACAGGGGTGTCACTGCGGCTTCACTTTGGCACTTGGGAGCTTGGCCAGGACCCTGCGGAGACAAGGGGGGAGTCAGGGGGGGACACCGGGGACACCCCCGGGGACACCCCCGAGACCCCCCGGGAGGTGGGGGGGAGGGGACAGAGGGGACAGAGGGGACACGGGGACACTCACCTGGCTCGCAGGTGGCTCAGGTGGCTCCGCACCTGACTCAGGTATTGGTCGATCTGGGCCTGGG